CTATAATTTTCTCCATTCAAACTCCAATGAGAAGATCTGGAAGGAAAACCTAAATACCATTGCTTCAGTGTATCTAAATTTATTTCCTCAGCAAATCAACAGATTAAGGGCTAGATGCAGCTACAGAAAGGCAGACGGATATGGAACATAAACTGCTCTTTCCTCCACTCTTCCTCCCTGTGTCCCGCCTCTCCAAGTTCCATGGTTGGAAATCATCCTATTTTTTTTTTAGCCAGGATGTACTAAAATTAGACAGGAACAAAGGCCTGACATTTTCATATTAGCAAGGGGTTAGGAAAAAAATCTGAACCTGAAGCACCCACATTCATCTACATTTAGCCTCTTCCTCGTGAGTCTTTCCTTTCTAAAGCAGCAAGAGGCACAGCAGGAACCAACTCAGTTCTGTTTCTACTCTGCTACCATTCCTGACAACAAACTACTCCATCCACAGTGCATCAGTGAAGACCCCCGTCACCAGGAGGATTTCATATTTCTAAGCTACTCTGGTATTCTCTAGGATATAATTGCTGGATCATGTGTCAATCAATGCTTATGGCTTTGGGGAAATGGAGAGATAACACTCATCTTCTTTAAAGTAGCTTCCAGACATCATACACAGTAAAAAAAAAATTAGACACTGAAATATTGAACACTTTCTGATACAGAAATAACAACATGATGTAAAAATATAACACAGGGGCTGGAGAAGCAGCTCTGCAGTAAAGAGCACTTTCTGCTCTTCCAGAGAACAGGATCCAAGCACCCACATAAGGCAGCTCACAACTGCCTGTAACTCCAATTCCAGAAGATCCAACATCCTCTTTGAACCTACATGGGCACTCCCCCAAATGGCATATTTTTACGGAGACACACAAGTAATAAATTTAAAAATTGCTTTTTAAAATGTGCCATTTCTTCAGGAAAATAAGAAAATGGTTTCCTCTGAAAAAAAAAATGAATACTAGATTTGGGGATTTTATGGCTTGCTCTAGAAAGCCAGTCAGTAATTTATAAACACTTGGTCTTCAGTCTTTCTCACAACAGTATCAGCATGACAAAAGGACATTCTATATCAGCTCATACATCCTCACTTTTTGAAGTTCTATTCCACAAAAGCAGAATACTGATACATTCATGTCTTAGAAATTATTCTTATCTTTTTAATTTGGCTTTCCTGGGTCTAAGCTGCAAGTCCACACAGTGATAGCTTGAAATTCCCACTGAGAAGCCCTTTTAGTGATTAGTCTAACTCAATGTGTTCTAAAGATTTTTAAAACTCAGTAAGTACCCACTCAAGCTCTCTTTTTTTCCTGGTTACTAGAGCCCATCTTGACATCTAAGCTGGAAATAAATGATCTCTCAACAACACTCCTAATCATTTATTAGGCTTGGTACCCGGTGCTTTTCAGAGTTCCATGGCAGAGCTGGTTTTATTCAGCATTTATGTAGCCTGTGGGCTTGGGTATTTGTCTGCTTAATGCTGAGTTTCAGTTCTATGCTCTAACATAGGAATCCATCAATTGACCAAAGAATTTCAAACCATTCTTTTACTTTCTAACAAATTGCATGGTGTGTATGAAGAATAAATTAGCATTAATTTTCTTCCATTAACTGTTAATAAGACATGGTCCTGCATTCTCCCTTCATCTAAGGACATCTCTGTTTCCTGCCTAACCAAAAGAAATGATAAGGATTTTCTAATTTGCCCCCCAGAATGTCTTTAAATCTACTGTGCTCCTTGCTTCCCACAACCATGCTCTAGGTTGTGGCAACCTTCTTCCAGTAAAATATACTGGACAAGACTCCTTTCAGAGGCTGTCCACACCCCTTGTAATTAGCTGGAGTGGTCACTACTGTGCAACACAAGACACTTAGTCTCTTGCCCTGAAAGCTGAGCGCTGTTTCTTCATAAGATAGATCCTAGCTCACAGAGGTAAAAACAGGAAGTCAAATCTCAGATCTCTCCCTTGGAGACAAACTGATTGTTCATATTTGTTCTTATTTTCAATGTAGGCCACCAGACAGAAAAAAAGTCAGGTACATTCATACTATGTATATATAGACACAAATCTATAAAGTGAAAATTGTATAGGTTTGAGCAGAGTGTGGTGGCAAACTCCTATAATCCCAACACAGTAGACAGAGGCAGAAAGATGAAGGATCAGAGTTCAGAGCTATCCTCAGCTGCAAAGGAAGGTCAAAGCTTGCTTAGATTACATGAGACCTTGTTTCAAAAAAAAAAAAAAAAAAAGAGAGAAAAGAAAGAAAAAAATCAAACATGTATGTGCCTCAAAAACTGAGATTTCTACTGTCATCTGGGTGAGAATGAACCCCTGTCAGCAAGCAGTGGTACACTGCAGTGGTACAGAAATTTTACAAACCTATAAAAGACATTAAGGCCTTTTATGTTTGCCTTTCTTCTTTTGTCAAACAGAAGACTAGCATGCACATCGGAGAGGAACAAGAAGAAAAACAAGCCTGTGACTACAAAGAGGGAAAAAAATCAAGTACAATTTGTACTTATTTTAAAAAGGCTTTAGTCAAGCTGCTAAGACTAATGTCAGGTATGAATCACAGACCTAAGTGTCAGTCCCCAAAAGAAACTCTAACCTGTATACCTGGTTTAAACAAAACATTCTCAAAGCTTTCTATGTGTTAATTTGTGGCGCCTGAGGGCCTGCCTGCAGCATTCAGGCCTGATTCCCCAGGAACCTATTGGTTCCCTGTGGACCTGCGCTTCCCAGACATGGCCTGTTGTGTTACAACAACATCACAGTGAAAAGCCCCAGTTCTACTCTGGATTTCAAACAAGTTTCCTCAAAATGTTTCTTGATTAAATGAAACTACAATTTCAGTTTCTTATCCACAGAACAGTCATCATTACATCATAAGCTCCCTTTTTAACTGCATTTCAGTCATGTATCCACATATTTATAAGAGTCAACAGCTTTAAAATAAAGTGTTCATAGTTTATTTCATAAATGTAGAGACATTTAGTAACCAGGCTCTTAACAGTTTGATATTAATTTGGAAATACTAATTTCTTGTTAGCATTTTCAGACCTTTCTATTTCTGATTTCAATCATTAAAGGGTTGGCTTCTAGCAAGATTAAAGTGCTAAGAAGAAATGACAAGTCCTTTTTTTTTAAAAACCTTATCAACAGCTCCACAGTGGAAAAAGAAAAAGCCTCAACCTTTGCAAAAGAAACAAACATGTCCCACAAAAGGACTCACTCACCATCAGCAGACATATCCCAAGCTATGAGTCAGACAGCCTGCTCACACAGAAAGTGATTTGTTGGGTTGATGCTTAAGAACACTTCAAACTTACCCACCTAAAATGCTGAGAGTACTTACTTTCACTCATTTAATTATTTGTTTTAGAAAAGTTCTCACTAAGTAGTCCCAACTGGATTGGAATTTGCCATGTAGATTATTGTTATTTTTTAAATCAAAGACAATTTTGGAACACTTGTTATTTATTTTAAAAAGTCACCTCAATAGGTTATAAAACACTATGTATCTACAGTTTAAAGACCTCTGGCCAGGGAGGAGACTCAGTGAATACAAGTACATGCTGTGCAAACGTGAGGACATGAGTTTAAATATCCAGCACCTATGTAAAAGTTGGGCATGGCTGCATGTGCCAGAAGCTCCAGGGCTGGCAGATGCAAACAAGCGATCCTTAGAGCAGACTGGCCAGTTATGCATCTCACATACTGAGTTGCAGGTTCAGTAAGAGACTCTGCCTCAAGGAAACAAGGAAGACAAAATAAGGCAACAATATAAGGAGATCACCTTTGAACCCACCCCTAATCAGGAGACAGGAGCAGGCCGATCTCTCTGAGTTCAAAGCCTGATCTACATAGTGAGTTCAAGGACAGCCAGAACTAAGGAGAGATCCTGTATCAAAAAAATCACAACAAAAAGAAACTCAAAGTCTTCCTTTGGTTTTCACATGAGTATGCCTATGCACTTGCATGTGCTCATACACACTAAAGATCCTACATCTCATAAAGCACAATTTTCTGAAAAGCTTAAATTGTACATATTCTAAAGTAACTTCTCACATTTTGCATTCTAAAATAAAAGCTATTCCAAAATCAATGTAATTTTGTTCAAAATCCTTGTAATTGTCTCCAAATCTTTAAAAGACAAGTGGTAACCTTAATGGTCACACTAACCTAAGTTACTGGCTTGTCCTCCTCTACCCCTCAGAACAAAAACCATATGCTGCTGGACTAGGCTAAACACTAGAAGAATATTTAACATAAAAAAGGTTTTAAAACCCAATGTTCTGCCAGGCATTGGTGGCACACACCTTTAATCCCAGCACTCGGGAGGCAGAGGCAGGCAGATCTCTGTGATTTCTAGGCCAGCCTGGTTTACAGAGCTAATTCCAGGACAGCCTCCAAAGCACAGAGAGACCCTGTCTCGAAAAACCAAAAAAAAAAAAAAAAAAAAAAAAAAAACAAAGAAAACAAAAAACCAATATTCCCAAAAGGCTGAAAATCATCAAAAAGCTATAAAACTTTTTTAAATTATTTATTTTTATTTCATGTGCATTGGTGTTTTGTCTGCATATATATGTGTGATGGTGTCAGATCCCCTACAACTGGAGTTACAGACAGTTGTGAGCTATCATGTGGGTGCTGGGAACTGAACCCAGGTCCTCTGGAATAGCAGCCAGTGGTTTTAACCACTGAGTCATCTCTCCAGCCCAAGATACATAACTTTTAAATATATTTTTTTATTTTATGTATGCAGGTATTTTGACTCCATGAATGTCTACGCACTACAAGCCTGTCTGGTGCCCGAGGCCAAAAGAGAAGGTACTAGATCCATACAAACTGAAGTAACAGATGGTGTGAACAATGTGGGTTTTGGATAAAAACCCAGGTCCTCTGCAGGAGCAGAAAGTGCTCGTTACTACTGAGCTATCTCTTTCCAGTACCCCAAAAGTTATATAATTAAAAAAAATTAAGATTCCAATACTAAAATATGGTCCCAAATACAGTTTACTTAAATATTAGATACAAATAAAAGATACACTTTACCTTTTCAAATATATAAATGCCCTCCAGATAAACCAGCTCATAGAGCACCTTGTCTCTCTCTCTCTTCCTTAAAATTCATACAACTGACAACCCTCTTCCACAGAAAGATCAATGACAAAATTCAGTTTTCACTTTTCTTTTGTTTGCACAGGTGTGCACTGCACACAGATGTGTATAAAAGCCAAATGTCTTTAGGTATTATTGTGGAATATTATTTTAATTGTGTAAAGGTGTGTTAACTTGTTTCTGCTGCCTTTGTTAATGATGCAAAGATGTGTTACATTTGCTTGATTAAATAAAATTAACCTGGGGTCAGGAGGCTGAGTTAGCAACTAGTTGACAGGAAGAGGTAGGGAGGAACTAAGCATAGCGAGGGTTCTTTAGTGAGGGCTGAGCAGAAGGATAGACTTTTTTTCAGGAGACACAAGCAAGGAGAGTTTAACTACTTGCTATTCAGCCTCTCTGAGCGAGCAGAATTTCTCCCAAACTTTGAATCCTGAGTTCTACAGAAAGATAGAAATTTAGACAAAGTTTCCTTTAGCAGTTGTGATAGAGCTGGTGCCTGAGGAAAGAGAATTCCAGCCTGGCTGCAGCCCATATGACCAAACCTCTACTGGTAGCTGCCAAGTTGCAAATGCCAGTTGGGACAGCAGTTGCTTTAGGTGCAGCCACTAGCCACTGTATCGAATGCAAAACAACAATGCATCCTTCTCAATTGCTCTCAACTTTATTTTTTGAGACAGACTTTCAGTGAACCTGGAGCCAAGTGATCCACAGCTAGGTGCCTGACCATCAAGCCTCAGGGAATCCTCTTGTCTCTGATCAGGAGCACTGAGATTATGAGCACATGCTGCTATGAACAGCGCTATATACAGGTGCTAGGGAACTGAACTCAGGTCTTCATGTTTACTTGGCAATTTCCCCAACTTTTTTTTTTTTTTTTTGGAAAGGGGGTTTCACTGCATAGCCCAAGCTTTTAACTCCAGTTCCTCCTCCTACTTCAGCCTCCTGAATGCTAAGATTATAGGTGTGTCATGTCTTACTTAAAATTCAGTTCCTGGTAAAGGACAGTCTTTCAAAACAGAGAGATAGTAAAAGTAATAATGAATGTCATGAAACTCAGGTGGCTGACTCAATATTCTCAAAGTCCACAGACTAGCACTAGCCATTTAGTTGTTAGTGATCAACACTAACAAAGGGCTATATAGCTCCTAAAGTAAGTGCCCACCTGAATTTTATATATAGCACTGAATTTGATGCTATAAAGATAGATTTGGCACCTGTGAGGTAGACCATGTTAGAAGAAGGGTTCTAGAGTCTATCAGACCCAACTAAGAATTTTGACTTCTCCTGGTACTATCTGGTCTTGCAAAAAACGTCTTCACTGTCAGCTGTAGTTCTTCTATACATAAACAAGTACTACTTTGAGAAAATACAGGAGGACTCAATGATTTAATAAAACACCATTAGTTAACACTTGACTAAGCATTTAGCAATATTCCTTAATTCTTTTTTCCTAAACTACCCATTTATCCTTCACAGGGTAAAGACTAGAGTTACCAGTGTGGTGGTGCACACCTGGAGAGGCAAAGGCAGATGAATCTCTGAGTTCCAGGCCAATGAGGGCTACATAGTGAGACACTGTCTCAGAATCAAACAAACAAATAAATAAATAAAAATACTTCATCAGCTTCTCTGATTTTGCTTAATAACATGGCAATCAGGGAGGTCTCCCAGCTACCAACACAAAATGGTGCTTATCATACTATATACTCTGTAAAGCATAAAGAAACTTATAACTACTCTGTCCTTGAAACAGGTTGATCGAGTCTTCATAAACTGTCATTTTCAATTCAACTTTTACCAAGGCACAAAAAACAAGAATAGAGGCTTTCTGTAAATTCATTTACTGCCTTGAGGCTTTCAACTGATTAATAGTTACAGAAAACTGCCATAAAACACAAGAATACTTATGTCAAATACAAAATAAAATTTTATATTATTCTTACTTGATATCTAAATGCTGATGACCATACATGTGGTTTCCCACCACCCCATTATCTGTACTCAGTCTGTGCAGCCTGGGTACTTACTAAGCACTATTTGCACTTGCTTCTTCTGTATCAGGCTTTGTGGTACAGTTTCTTCTAGAAAGCTAACTGACTTTGTCCAAGAAAGTCTCACTTTTTTGAAAAACCAAAGCTGCTACAGTATTTCCAGATCTACCTCCAAAGCTGAACTTGGGTGTTGGCAGCTCTTCAAAAAGTTCAAATCCTATAAAACAAAATTAAAATATCTGTGTTAGAGATATTTGTACCAACAATGTTCTTTCAAATCCTTTCCAAAACTGTGGTTTCAAACTGGTGACTGAACTTAATTTTGCAATTTTTTTCCACCTCACCACCACCCCCCAAAATCTTTTTAAATGAACAGGGAACAGAAAGGACCAAAAACAATCAGCATAGAAGTCTTTTACCCATTTCCTCTAGTCCTACTTACCACTACCTCCCCACCACCTACTTCCCTTAGTCTATTTCTCTATCTCCTTGGTAAGAAGAAGCTGTGACACACTGAATTCTTGCCCTATGTCAACACTGCTTTTTATGTGGCTCTCTATGTAGGAACAACACAAATATAAAGGCACATATTACAAAAAGGTTAAATTACTGAAAGTAAAAAATGAATTTGTAAATGATGAGAAAGTTCTGGAAGACAGACTTCTCATGGTTACACAACAACATGGATGAACTAAACAACATGAATTGCACACTTAATTCATTATCTATTTACCTACAGATTTAGTTGTATTTGGTTTTTCTGAGATGGGGCCTCATATAGCAGAGGTTAGCCATGCTTTCTATATAGCCAAAGATGACATTCAAACTCCTGATCCTCCTGCCTCCACCTAACAAATACTAGGATTAAAGGTACACACCACCACACCCAGTCTGAATTGTTCACTTAAAAACAAAATAGTTAAAATCTTATGAATGTTTTATCACAATTTTAAATGAGAAGATTAATTAAACAAAGATTAATACCCAAGCCAAACTACTGTCTTGGAAGAAATTATAACTTTAAGAACACAGTATGCTTTTAAAAGAAATGCTCATTTAGGACCCAATGTCCTAGGTTCAAGTCTCGGGTTTCCCACCTCTATGTAAGAGATATACTTGCTCAAGGAACTTTTTCCATGACTCTTAAATCTACTCAAAGTCAATAGTTAGTGAAACCTCCATGGGCCTTTGTAAAGATTCAAATAAAATAACTAAGTGTTTCCCTAAACTATAAAATAAGCTGCAAATGCATTATTTTGTGGCTTTTTGTTTGCTTGTTTGTTTGGGGATTTTTGGGGGGATGGTTGGGTTTTTGTTTTGTTTTTTTGGTTTTTCCAGACAGGTTCTCACTATGTAGCTCTGACTGTCCTGAACCTTGCTTTATAGAGACCAGGCTGGCCTCAAACTCACAGATAACTACCTGCCTCAGCCTCCCCAGTACTGGGATTAAAGTGGTGGCAGCACACCTTTAATCCCAGCACTTGGGGGGCTGAGGCAGGCAGATCCCTTAGTTTAAGGCCAGCCTGGTCTACACAGTGAGTTCTAGCCAGGGCTACACAAAGAAACCCTGTCTCAAACAAACACCAGGGAATTTCAATGGTAGAACACCTGCCTCCTATGTAGAAGGCTTGGGTCTGGAATTGAAGCCCATAAAAATAAAATAATAAAACAACGCAGAAAGACCACTAAATGGCCAACAAATGCACTGGGCTGGTAAAGGCACTTGCCACCAAACCTGGGGACCTGAGTTCAATTCCCAGGACCCACATAATGAAAGGAGAAAACTGATTCCCATGGGTTGTCTTCTGACTGCCACATACCCCACCACCCAGCTAAATAAACTGTAATATAAAATTTTTTTAATTTATATTTTATGAATAGTACTACTGAGGAAAACTGCACAATGCATTTAACATATGGGGGAAAAAAAGAACCTTTAAAGACTATTGAGGCACACAAACTCAGAGTACAGCAGTACACACAGGCCTAAACAGGTTCAAGCCAGATGGGATCTCAGCACGGAGAGGGTGAAATAGACACAGGCTCCCACTCAAGAAACTATCTGTAGTTGATACCCACTGGCAAAGAAAATTTGAGATTTCTCCAATGGACTCTCACTATATTAACCACATTTCTGGACAAGACCCATGCACAGGAGTAGTTGGTCAACACAAAACACATTCAATATAATGTCTCATTACACTCTGTTTGGGCATTTTTTGCTTATTTATTTTTATTTCCATTTTTGTGGGGGTTTGTTGGTTTTTTGTTTGTTTTGGAGGGATTTGATATGTTTTTCTTGGTCTTCTACTTTTAGGATTTGTTTTGGCTTTGTTTTTAAAAAGAAAAAGAACATAAAGTTGTGTAGAGAGGTGGAAAGAGCTGGGGGAGGGAAGGAAACATGATTAAAATGCATTGCATGAAAAAAAGAAGTGGAGAGGCAAACTTCATTCTAAGCCATGGACTGTGGCGGCCATTAGAGAGGCCTTCAGCAGCAGTGGCATGGGACAGAGTACTCTGTTGCTGTTACGCATCTAAGTCCAAGCACCATTTTCTAAGCAACTCAATCCTAAGTCTCTGTTTCTTTAACACCTTCTATTACAACATTTCCCTTGTTTTAATTCTCTATTTAGCTCTAAGACTGTATAAAGAGCTTACTCAACAATTTTCAGACACATTGACACTTTAAATCACAGTATTTCAGGTTAAAGTCTGCTCCTCATTACCAGAAACAGACAAAAATGCTTCTGTCTGCTGGTTCCAGGGTAAAAGGGTAAAAGAGAACACCTGTATTTAATAACCAGGAGAGGGGGCTGGAGAGATGGGACAGTGGTTAAGAGCATTGGCTGCCCTTCCAGGTGAACCAGGTTCAATTCCCAACACCCACATGGCAGCTCACAACTATCTGTAACTCCAATTCCAGGGGATCTGTTACCCTCACACCAATGCATATTAAAAATTAAATAAAAGCATTTGCCACAAAAAAAAAAGAAGGAACCAGGAGAGGAACTTGTCCCACACAGCAGAACTCTGAGCAGTAATTAAAACTGTCAAGCTTCAAAAAAAAGGAGGTCTATTGATAGAACCCAGCTGTTCCTTCTTTGGTTTTTGTTTTTTTGTTTTTTTTTCCAAACAGCATTTCTCTATGTAGTCCTGGCTATCTTGGAACTTTCAGGCTAGCCTCGAACTCAGATCTGTCTGCCTCTGTCTCTGGAATCCTGGGGCCAAAGGCATGCACCACCACTGCCATTCTAGAACCCAACAGTTCTATGAGAAATAAATGTTAACATGGAAGACAATAAAATTAACGACAAAAAATAAAAGACAGTAGTAAATCACATACAATTCTTGTTTTCTGGAAGTAATAATAATGAAGCCAAAAGCTCACATTTTCAGCAATAAATGCTTTAGGTTTTCAATTATAAAACCTGCCAAAACCACTGAATGTACACGGGAGGACACAGGACATCTTCTGTCTAGTCCTTTAATACTAAAAAGAAAACAAAATCTAAAACAGGTTCATGCAATATGATGCAACATGGTTACAGAAAACAGTGTGCAGTAAACTCTCCTGAGGTAGCTGGTTTCTCATCAACTTGTGAGAGAGGGTCAAAATGTAACCAAATATTTAGTCTAGAATCATTTACTTAATACTTCATCCTGAACATTCCTTCCATTCCTCTATAAAATAATTAGTACTAACCCTGAAAAAGACTCTAAGGAAAAGGTAAACAAATAACAAAAAAAAATTTCGAAGTACTTTCCCAGCAATGCCTGCGTGCTTCATGGATAAACTAGAAGGTAAAACACTTCTTGAAGAAAACTCCAAATGCTCTATGCATAAAGACATATTCTCAATGCTCACAAAACATAGTAGACATAGTATTAATATTAGTAGACATAGTCTAATGTACCTTTGGCTAATGGGGCAGGAAGAAAAAAACCCTGCCTTGCATTAAAAAAGGCAGAAGAAGGCCAGGCAGTGGTGGCGCATGCCTTTAATTCCAGCACTCGGGAGGCAGGAAGATCTCTGTGAGTTCGTGGCCAGGAACCCTGTCTCACCTCCCCCCACAAAAAAAGGCAGAAGGGAACTTCCTCAAGAATTAGTATGTAGAACTATTATTAATTCCTCGTTTCATTTTTGTGATGTTAAAAATAATTGCTCCATATACACCAAAAACAGAAAGACAAATCCTTAACACTTAAATGACTCCTAAAGCAAACCATATAAGCTACATATAAAACTAAAACATTCTCCGAGTGATGGAGGTGGCATACACCTTTAACCCCAGCAGCACTCAGAAGGCAGAGGCAGGTGAATTTCTGAGTTTGAAGCCAGCCTGGTCTGAGTTCCAGGACAGCCAGGGCTATACAGAGAAACCTTGTCTCATGGGGGAAAAAAAAAGAGAGAGAAAGGGGAGGGGGAGTGGGGGACTAAAACATTCATCATGTACTTCCATTTACATGAGTATAGACTAACAAATAAGTTAGTTCACTCAAGTCCAAAGCACAACACATGTGCTGAATCTCAGGACAGCAGATCATACAGCTTAAATAAAAGATTGCAATGCTTAAATAAAGAGCTTGATCTTTACAAGCTCATAAATGTTAGTACTTAACTGCCAGGATTTCTGGGAAAAATGTTAAAAAGGCCTCTGGATCCCAACCAATTTACTTCTCTGTGCTTTGTATACACAGTTCAAAGTTATTACTCAGGTCATTAACACAGAAGAAAAGCAGTCAATTCCTACAATCAGAAATGTAAAATAATGTACCCAACAGGGGAGCCAAGCAGAAGTATAAAAACCCCAAAGAGTACACATTCAAACCCATGTAGCCAGTTACCTTCACTGAACACATCTAGCAACTCTGCCTTGGTCCAATTACATGAGGTTATTAGAAAAAAGCCTTTTACTTCCAACACCCTGGAGAGAGACTTCACATATTGCTTCCTCTTCTCAACTGCATTGTCAGGATTAAGACTTATGGCATCAAAAGTTCCTTTGTCAACACAAACATGAAATCCAGACAGCTTTGTGGAAAGACTCAAAAAGTCTTCTACCTATATTAAAAATGAATGTCCATATGAGAACAATTAACACAATCTTTATATAACTTAAGTGACAACATGTAAAAAGTTAGAGATAAAAGAGCCTATTATGATAGCATTTTACATATAATAAACATATTTTCAACTTTATAGCTAACTTTTATGTGCTTTATTTCTGAGATCATTAAAGCCAAAATTAGAAGAGAGGTTGATAGTGTTTCCTGAACATTTCAAATCTCTACAAATTTGGAAACAAATCAAAACCAGGAATACTGGCTCGAAGAGTCCAGTTTACAAAAAGTTGATTCTTATGAAAATATTTAACATGTTTATCAAAATGACAAAACTTATTTGGAACCCAGGTCACTGCAAATAAAACTTATGACTTATACTCCCACTTGAGTGGCCTAAAGTAAATAAAGAATTATCAAAAGTTCTTCTGTTTTGATTCAGCAGCTCACAAAGCTACTAATGGATATTACAAAAGGCATGAAACTTAAGAAATTAAGGAATTATTTAAACAATGATTACTTAACTTAGTAAATGTCCAATGCTTTAGCTTTTAAAAGTTCATCAGCATCCTGTTTTTAACAACCTGTAGTATTTGAAATAGTGATGTGCCTCCATTTTATAACTCAAAAATTTACTAATGAATTTAATTCTAAAATTGGGGATGAGAGTCGTTTTGAGACTGGGTTTCTCTGTGTAACAGGTCTGGCTATCCTGGAACTCACTTTGTAGACTAGGCTGGCCTCAAACTCACAGAGATCTCATCATTCATACAGTTTTAATAATGAAAATGAGTATCTAAAACAACCTTTAAGACAAATACTAGGCCGGGCGGTGGTGGCGCACGCCTTTAGTCCCAGCACTCGGGAGGCAGAGGCAGGTGGATCTCTGTGAGTTTGAGGCCAGCCTGGTCTACAGAGCCGATTCCAGGACAGCCTCCAAAACAATACAGAGAAACCCTGTCTCGAAAAACCAAAAAAAAAAAAAAAAAAAAAGATGAATACTATATATTGGTATGTGTGTGTTTTGTTTTTTTGGATATTTTTTGGTTTTGGCTTAGATTTGGTTTGTTTTGTTTTTGGTGAAAGGGTCTCACACATGTAATCCAGGCTTTCCTAGCTCTGCGTCTACTACAGTGTTGAAATTGCAGGTGCATACCAGCACAGCACATTCAGCATGTCCTTCTATTTGAAGATGGGACCTTTCCTGTCTCAGATCCAAAGTACAGAATTAATTACACCTGAATCAAAATAAAAACTACATGAAGATCTCATTCTGTGAGGTCATCCTCATCCTAAACACCTGTTCATAACAGTCTTGTATTCCAAAGGTATTTCATGACACCTTTACTTGTTAGACACAATATATAACAGTAAGTAAAAGAGTAAAGAAATCTGTGTTAGAATATAGTAGTCTTGTGTTTCACAAAGGGAGAACTAAACAACAAATAAGCTGCTACTGTTTAAGAACATCTTCCAGAATACACACATTGGAAATCTAAGAACAGTCATATGTTAATGATATTTGGAAGAGACCCTAGGAAGATGACTGCATCATGAGGGCTCTCTCCTCATGAACAGATACTGGGCTAATTAGAGATTGGCTTTGTTATAAAAGCAAGCTTTCTCTGGCTCACTTGCTCTACTATGATGCAGGAAGAAGGCCCCTTATCACATGTAAGAATAATAGTGGACTCTTCAGCCTAGAGGCTTAAATAAACTTCTATGCTTTATAAATTACCTAGTCTATGTTATTCAGTCATCGCAATAAAAAGCTAACTAAAACATAAACTTAAGAAAACACTTCCAGAAGCTACAGAGTTAGTGCCATAGTTAGGAACATATACTGCTCTTGTATAGGACCCACATCAGGTGACTCACAACTGCCTGTAGCTTGAGCTCCAAAATTCAAGGTTTCCGGCCTCCACAGGTACATGTACTCACATGCACATACTCACTCAGAGAAATGTAATTTTTAAAAACATTATATTATTTCAAGGTTCAGACTCAGATCTGAGTGGATCTTTTAATACTGACATGATAGTGAGAACCAACTCCCACAATTGTCCTCTGACCTATGCAAGTATGCTGTAATCAATCTAGACACCACACAAAACAAATAAATGAGTGTAATAAGGTAATAATACTATTTCAGATAGAGCTAGCAAGATGGCTCAGCAGATAAAGGCTTGCCACAAAACCTAAGTTTGAGTCTTGGGATCTCAAAATGAAAAAAACCAACTTCAGCAAGCTGTCCTCTGATCTCAATTCCTGTACACATGTATGTCCACACAAGTACACAAACAAAAAGAAATGCAATTTAAATTTTTAAGATAGATTACACATGTTTAATAATGGTATACCATAACATCTTTTAAAACATATTTTAGATGAAATAATATTAAGAAAACTGGGGATGGAGAGACGGCTCACCAGTTAAGAGCACTGGCTGCTCTTTAGTGGCCCCAGGTTAGGTTCTCAGCACCTATATGGGAGCCTACAATCACCTGCAACTCAAGATGTAGAGGGTCTGCAGCCTTCCATTGGCCTTCCCAGACAAAACACTAACACATGTAAAATAGAATAAAACGAGGGCCTGAGCTCAGTAGATAAAGGCACTTGCCACCAAACCCAACAAACTGAGTTCAACCCCTGGAGTCCACATGGTAGCACATGTATCCACCCACCACACACACAATAAATATATGAGTGTAATTTTAAAGAGAAAGAACTGAGCATGGTGGTACATGCCTGTAATTCCAGCACTTGGAAAGCAGAATATGAGAAGTTTAGCTACATAGCGTGCTGGAAGAAGCCTGAATTATAGAAATCCTGTCTCAGTAGCACAAAATATAAAAACCATGAGCCAGCCAAGATGGTAAATGGCTATAGTCCTGCCTTCAGAAAGTAAAGGCAGTATGATTCATAAATCTTTGGCCAGCCTAGGCTACAAAGGGAAGTACCTCTAATCTTGAGGGGAAAAAAAAAAGAAAACAGTAGTAAGACTGTGACTAAGAAGATAAATCTTTTGTGAAAAAAAGCAGCTTGAGTTGGGCTTGTTTGCACACCGCTTCAATCCCAGCACTCAGGAGGCAGAGGCAGGCAGATCTCTTTTGAGTTCAAGGCCAGGCTGGTATACAGAGAGAATTCCAGGTCAGCCAGGGCTACACAGAGAAACCCTGTCTGAAAAAAACAAAAACAAACAAACAAACAAAAAAAAACAGTGCTATAAGCAAATGTTTGTTTTAGATCACTCTGACTACTTTGTATCATAGGAGTGGTGAGGCAAAATGATTGAAAGAAAAGAGAAGAAACAAGGTTGACTCTGTGGGTTTTAAGTGTTCTAATTTCTTTCTGTTGCTGTAAGAAAACAAACACTCAGACCAAAGGCAACTTTGGAGAGGAAAGGACTTATTTTATCTTACATTTCCAGGTCACAGGCCAGAAACTCAAGGCAGGAACCTGGAGCTAGCTCACTTTCTGACTTTATCACAGGCTGATGCTTAGCTAGCAGCTTCCTTCTATTACCCAGGAATGCTAGGGATGGTGCTACACATAGTGGGCCAGGCCTTCCTGTATCAATTAATAATCAAGACAATCCTCACAGACACACTCACAGGTCAATCTAATCTAGACAATTCTTCAATTGAGGCTTTCATCTCTGATAACTTCAGGTTATGTCAAGTTGGTAATTAAAGCCAAGTGGGACAAAGAATTAAATAACAATGTTTGGTATGAAAACATCCTATGAACTTAAGGTTTTTTTTTGTTTTTTGTTTTAAATATAACTCATTTTCTTTGAGAAATAGAGACAACCAAATCCTGCCATCCAATTGAAGTGGCTTCCAGTTCTAGTGGAACCTGAGAAATAAAATAGCACTGCAGGGACATCCAGCACTTCTAATTTTTTCATCTCATTAATCCAGAGTCAGGTACTATACATTTCTGCAAACATGGACTATATCACACACACATATATACATATACAATAAAGAAGACACTTTCCCACAAAGCACAGTGGTTCATGCCTATAATCCACCTAGACTGATGCAGGAAACAAGTTTGAGGCTGGCCTGGGTTACATAGTAAGACTCTTGTCACACACACACAACAAAATAATGTCCCTAAACTAATTAGATTAAATTTTTAAGTTACTTTTAAATGTTTCAATTTGGATTTTTTTTTTTTTTTTGGGTTTTTCAAGACAGGGTTTCTCTGTGTAGTTTTGGAGGCTGTCCTGGCACTCGCTCTGTAGACCAGGCTGACCTCGAACTCACAGAGATCCGCCTGCCTCTGCCTCCCGAGTGCTGGGATTAAAGGCATGCGCCACCAACGCCCGGCCTCAATTTGGATTATTTATGATTGATCCTTAATTTATGAATTCAAAAAGGTCAGCAAATTAACATACTTTAAAAAAACATTCAAATATTATAACTTATTTTAAAATACTATTTAAAATATTATAGCAATATAAGTAATAGTTACCTTTAAGTTAATGTTAGATAGCCCTTCTTTCTCTAAAATACTTGCAGAAAGCTTAATTGCAGAAGGAGAATAATCGATCCCAGTTATATTAGAGAAACCATGTTTCACCTAGAGACAGAAATAATTTCTTAATTTAGTTTAAAACTTTTAATGCTTCGCTTATGAACTGTAATAGCCTTTGAATATAGAACTGTTTTAACCTTGTCAAATGTCATAGACTATCAAATATCATAGATTATCTAATTATCCATGTTTAAATTTTATTGTATTCCAAACAGAAACCAAAGCTTAAATTCATGACAATTTTCTGCTTTGTAATATCTGATTTCTTTTCAAAAAGAAATTCATTTTCTCGAAAATAATGTATAAGCCCTTGGGATAAAAATGTAGTATTAATTTCTGATGCCACTATACTCAAATTCACATATGAATTTAGCTCACATTTTACTTAACCCATTTAAATTATATGAATATATTAAATGCATATATAGTGACTTGGCTTTCCTTTAGCAAATTATA